TACATGAAGACTGATGATGGTTCAATTCCATCCATTATTGTAGATCATATAGGCGTGTATTTAGGCTCAATTAAAGGAAGAGGCAATATTGTTGAGGTAAGGGAAGATAGCTTGGTTAAAGCCTTCATCCCTCCGGGTAATGATATTAAAGCAAATGGTCTTGAATTATCTTCAGCTAAACCCCTATCTAATCAACGGGTTGATAATTCACAAGGTGGTCTATTAATGGGTCTGGAAAGTCTTAACAAAAAGCTTGCCAGTTCCTCTACTGATGAACAAGCTAAAGCAGCAGAAGAATTTAAGAAATCCATGTATGGAGCTGCTGCTGCTGATAGCAGCAGTGATGAGGAAGGAGAATCAAAAACCAAAAAAATACATGTTAGAATACGAGACAAGCCAATTGCCTCTTCTGTTGTGGATGTGAATAAGATTAAAGAAGCAACTAGTAAATTTAAACTAAGTGAAGGGTTAACTCCATCAAGGAGCAGGTCATTTACCAGTGGATCCCAAGATCTTGGCCAGATTTTGTCTCAGCCACCTGCACCTACTAGAACGGCTGCTCATACTGTTTCAACTCCTGGTGACCTGTTTGGTACAGATGCCTCAATTTCACTGCCCATTACTGGAATTACAAGTGGGAGAAATACAGTAGGACCTATTCCAGAAGACTTCTTTCAGAATACAATTCCATCCCTTCAGGTCGCTGCGTCATTGCCTCCTGCTGGGACATATCTCTCTAAATTTACTACAGTGGCTCAAAGAGGTGAGGCAACTGCTAACCAGGTTAGTGCTCCTGAAGCTGATGCTAGTCTTCAAGGTGATGTCCCTCCTCAAGCTGTTCAACAATCAACAGTTCATATTGAGTCTGTAGGACTTCCTGATGGTGGTGTCCCGCCACAATCCCCTTCTCAGACTGCAGGCGTGCCCCCATCACAGCTGCAGGCACCAATGTCTAGCCAACCTCTTGATCTTAGTGTACTTGGAATACCAAATGATTCAGCAAAGCCTCCACAAACTGATTCTCCACCATCTTCTGTAAAACCTGGACAGGTATAAAATACATACATGCATGCCTATCCATTTACATGTGGGATGTTAGGAAAAAATATGGATGCAAGAATTAGATGTACTGGATTGAACAGACATGTAGCATAAACAGAAATACTCATTTTATGATTTTTCCTTTACACGTTTTGTGGATGCTAGCTATAGAGAAGAAATTAAATAGGTTTGCTAGGACAAAATTTCTGATTGAACTGCTGTGCTTATAACAGTGACTACTTCTATAATGCCACAGTGGAGAAGTAAACTTTAATGAGCCTCCCATGCACAACTATGGTGTATGTTAGGAAGAAAAGGAACAGCATTGAATTAGAAGCTTTAGAATGTGAGTTTGGATCTAACTCAATCTTACAAAATTGACTTGTAAGTTGAGGTTACCACCCATTTATATACAATATTTCGGCCTTCTTAAAATAGATGGAGTCTAACTCAATCTTATAAAATCGACTTGTAAGGTGAGAATTGTTCTCCACTTATATACACTATTATAATCTTATTTCTAGTTGATGTGGAGATTTTCAACACACTCCTTCACAATGAGAACTGAACATCTCAAGCATGAAATTTGCAGTCTTGCAAGACTTAACATCTGCATATGGTTCGATGGTGGCTGGTACAATAGGTCCAACAAAATAGCCATTAGGATATAGCCATCAACCTCTGGTACCATCTTAAGAAAGTAGGTTATTGAGTCAAATTCAACCTTACAAAATCGATTTATAAGGTGAGAATTGTTCTTCACTAATATACACTATGACCTAATTTCTAGTTGACGTGGGATCTCCAACAGGCCTTGCTACTAGTTGATGTAGGATTTAAAGTCTAAACCACTACCCTTGATTCTGCAACTAAAATGGGTTAGAGGTAACCACAATTAAGGCGGTTTCCAACAGAAGCATGTGTTGTCAGTGTTGATAATGGGGAACATGAGAGAGGATTAGTTTGGGAGAGTGTATTTAACAACCTGCACAGACGGCAGGTGGGGAAGTGACCTGATTCTGTCAGTGAATTAAAATAGGGAGAAGGGAGATGAATGAGGATTGGGAACCGAGGAAGCAAAGCCCTTGAAGAGTCTTAACTTCTCTCATTTATTTTTTCTGTTCAAGTCTTTATCTTTGATATTTTTATTTATACAAATCCTTATATGTTACTAACACCAGAAACTGAGGAAGGAACTTGCAGAGATTCCTTCAATAAAACTGTGTTCTAGTTCAAGTTTCGTATTACTGAGTCGTACAATTTATATTTTGGTTCCCAATCTCATGGCTCCTATGACAGGTTCCCCAAGGAGCTGCTGCTCATGTATGTTTCAAGACTGGACTTGCTCACCTTGAGCTAAATCATCTGAAAGATGCATTATCTTGCTTTGATGAAGCTTTTTTTGCATTAGCTAAAGAACTATCTCGTGGAAGTGATATAAAAGCCCAAGCAACAATCTGTGCTCAATACAAGATAACAGTCACTCTTCTTCAGGTACTATTATATGCTTCAATTTCTAAAGGAATGGACTGTGACCTACAAATTAGATAATCGAGCTTCTCTTTCTCTAGGCCATAATGCAGCATTGTTGTAAAACTGTATTTACAGATTTTCCATGATGTGAATATTTATTGTGTAGTTAAGTAAGCAATGACAGCTCACTTAAAGCTGTCTTTGTCGTTGCATTGGAAGTCTTTATTTCTTTACTCCCTCTATCTAAAGCTGTCTTTATGACTGCAGGAAATTGGACGTTTGCAAAGAGTTCATGGTTCAAGTGCAATTAGTGCAAAAGATGAGATGGCTAGACTTTCACGCCATCTGGGTTCTTTGCCTCTTCTCGCTAAGCACAGAATAAATTGCATTAGAACTGCCATAAAACGGAATATGGAGGTGCAAAATTATGCATATTCCAAGCAGATGTTAGAACTACTATTATCTAAAGCACCTCCAGGCAAGCAGGAGGAATTTAAGAGCCTTGTGGACTTGTGTGTTCAGAGGGGTTTGACTAACAAGTCCATTGATCCATTGGAAGATCCGTCGCATTTCTGTGCTGCCACATTAAGCAGGCTCTCAACCATTGGATATGATGTCTGTGATCTCTGTGGAGCCAAGTTTTCAGCTGTGACAGCACCTGGATGCATCATCTGTGGAATGGGAAACATCAAAAGATCAGATGCAGGCTCAGGCTCAGGGCCAGTTCCTTCACCATTTGGTTGAATCGCCAAGATTTTTCTTGCTTGTACCGAGTCTTCGTTTTCGATGCTGCTGTATAGAGAGACGCAACCTCATTGTAGGGAGGGATATGTACAACTGGGGAAATTCTCGCATCGAATCTAGGAAAATTATAGTTTCTACGTTTTCTGTACGCAACTTTTGAGTTTTGTTGTGATAATTTGTAGTGTTTAATTTTTATGCATGGTCAGTATAAATTTTTTATACTGTTAACCAATAAGCAATTTTAAGATAGTGATTGTAAATATCAATAAATTTATCATACATGATAATTTATGAGTAAATAATAATGTCAAAACTCTTTACATACGAGTGCAGAGTACTTAGTACTTACTCCTATTCAGTTATTTGTAATGACCTTTTTTTTTTTGTAATTTTCTTCTAGGTGATGCTTTCTCTGTAGTAGCAGAATGTTGTTTTCCAATCATACAAAACATATATTAACCATTTGTGAAGATTGAAATGCAAAGTTGTCATTAGGCGACATAATTTTTTGTTCCAATTTATCTGTGTTGTCAATGAAGGTTAACAGAACAGTAAGATAACTAGCATTTCCGAAAAGGCCTTTAGTTTCATTCTTGAAAAATAACTGTTATTGATATCTTTTATTATTTTGAATGAGACAATCACCTCAACTTTTCACTAAAAACAATTAATACAGATTTATGTATTGATACTGCCAGTGCCATGTAAATATTACAAGATTATGTTGTTCGGCCATTTCATTCAGTGGCTGGCTGGTTGGAGCCATTATCTCTAATTTTTTAAGTAGAACATGGGGAATTGATTTTTTTCTTAAGTATGCTTCATCAAATGAAGGATATTTTAGGGCAAACACAAAATACATATATATATATATATATATAATATGCTATTAATCAATAATTAAGAAAATCTAAACAAAAAGACAAGAGCAGATACCATTTAATTATGGAAATGTATCTAAAACATTAATTGAAATTTTATTGAAAATGACACCTTATTTTCAATAAATAAATATATATATATATATATATATATAGGGAAGGATTCAATTGACATCGGTATAACTTTTATTAAATATTACACTATTTAATAACTTTATATTAAATGTGAATTTTATAAATCCAATCATTGAATTATAACTTCATATCACTTTATATATTTATATCAAATTTTGTTAAAATTGAACAACTTAAAGATAATCAAAGTATTTATATTTTATTATATTTTGAAATGTATATATTACATTAATTTTGTTTTATAAGAATAAAATATCAAATCATCTAGGATTAATATAAAATTTTATATATATGATCTAAGAATAAAGAACTTTTAATCTAACGGTTGAATTTATAAAATTCACATTTAATATAAAATTATTGAGTGGTGTAATATTTAGTAAAAGTTATACTGATATCGTTTGAGCCCTCTTCATATATATATATATATATATATATATATGATTAATAGTTTCGTTTTTATACATGACCGGTGTAAAAAAAAATATACTAGTATTTAATGTTTAGGATTTAATGTGATATTTTCACTAATATGGACACCAATAGGTAGATTTTATGCAATAATGTTTGATAAATTTTTTAATAAAATTTGAATATAAGGATTAAAATAAAATTTTTGAAATTACAAAGACTAAAAACAACAATTTTAAATTTAAGGGACTAAAAATTTATTTACCATAAATTTGAGGGACTAAAAGCATATTTAAGCCTTAATTAAAAATTACATTAGAAATAAATTTTATAGTAATTATTATAAATAAATAAAAGGTATTAAATATATCAGAAGAAAAATGTCGCTTGGCATTTCTCCTGTTCCATATACAAAAATCTGTGGTGAGTGAAACGTTGAGCGATGAACAGTACCTCTCCCCGAGCTTATAGGTGTAATAGCAATCTAAAACTGAAGTCATAAGGCATCATTTGTACCAGCTGCGGTAGGGGCTGTCTTCCCCTTCTTTCAAGGCATTCAAGTGCTTCCTTTCTCAGTTCATTGGGTAGTTGGAGGCAGACCCAATCCAACAAAGATTCCAAGTCCTTTGCAAAGTCAAGTAAATACCAGTCTAGTAATTTTGGAATTATTAACTTGTTTCTTTTTGTAATGCCAACTGCTGCCTCTAAATAATCTCTCTTTGCTGCTTCTAACTCATTATCAACTTGTGATGCTGTGAATACTCTCACCTTCATAAACAAATTTGTTCCATCAATTCAACCAACCAAGGACATACATAGAAAATACCAGTCTAGTTAAGAATTTATCCTCATCAACAAAGAAAATTACCATGTAGCATTTAATAATACTAATGTTGATGCGAATACTCTGCTTAATTTTGTATTACAATTTACAATGGTCTCATGAATCTCCTAGCTTATCCAAGTATATCTTCTTTAGTTCCTATCCCAGATATTTCAGTTTCTTTCATAATCAAACAAACACATAATACCCGGCAATATTCAACCATTAGAGAACTTTTTTCTGAAGAATGTGTGATATTGTTTAAGTAATATTGTTTGTAGAATGTGTGACATCTTTGGTTTGGTCATACATTTTCAGACTAATTGATCACAAACTGAGTTATAGTTAAAAAAGCAATTAGTCAGTGTCCACATAACAGTATTGTCGTCTAATTAGAGGGGAAAAAAGATACCGCAGGTGAAGACCAGCTTCCACAGGAAAGTGCAAAAGTAACCAAGGGCTCTGACCATTCCAAGCCAAATATTCTTCCCACTTTCATGTCGTCATCTTTTGCAGCTTTTGTGCAGGTCTGTTGAAGTAAGCAAAGATGAAAATCAAGGGATGAATTGTAATCTACAAAGCATGACAAGGATCTCAAAAAATTAGAAAAACATTTTTACACGTCTAAAAGCATAGGCAAGAGAGTAGATTATGCACTTACAAACATCAGATGATAAGGAAGTCTCAAGATGAAGTGCTCTATTGTAATTGCATTGAGCCCCAGGCCCCCCACTTTTATTGTTGCCTAACACAAGCATTGCCAAGTTTTAGTCGACAATGCTAATATTGATTGTGATCAGGGACGGAACAAGGAAATTCTTTTAAGGGGCAGAAACTTAGGGCATGAATCCGAATCATCTATTATTAAGATTATTTTTTACATAAAAACTAATTTATGTATAAAATTAAAAATAAACTTAAATAAGTTTTTTTTTCTTAAAAAATTTTATATATCAAATTTCAACAATCTAATCCTTAAATTAAAAATTCTTAATATATATATTAAATCTCCAGAATTTTAAAAAAAATTATTTAATATTTTACCTATTAATTCAAATTAATATATAAAAATGTTTTTATAATTATTTATTAATTTAAATTAATTAAACAAA